CCCCAAAACCCCAAAACCCCAAAACCCCAAAACCCCATGATGCAATTATATGGTCGAATATGATAATATTATTGAGTTATTTTAAATTGTCTCTTAAATAATACCTCCGATCTAATATAAAACTATTAAAAATGACATCAATTTAAAGTGAAAATAAACCAGCAAAAGACTCTACAAGACCTTATAATCTTCAAAACTAGAAATCCACAAGCATCAATGATCTTATGCTCTTTCTAAATAAAAAGGTTGAGGATAAAACGACTTAAGAATATGTAAGCACATGGGCTAGAAATACGAGAGGACTAAATAACCTTATGAATACCAGTAAAGGTCGTGATAAGTTTTGCTAGCTCATCTAATACACGGCAAATCTCTACGTGACATGTATGAAAAACTCAGATGAATTCTCAGAACTGGTCAAGTAACTTTCCATTCCTTGTTTAATAAATCTGTGATAGATAAAAGAAAGTGCTTTCAGTGAATAGAGCCAAATCAATTGAAGACAATATTTCCAATGGAAGAAAGATCTTCAGATTTCTGCTCTTTTTGAATGAGTTCAATGAACTGCATCTCATCTTGAAGAATAAAAAGACAGGCATCTTGCTCAAAGTGCTCAAGATCATGTCGAGCATCTGCAGTTTCTACTATTACTTGTTTGATAATATAGTCTGGTTCACTTAGATAGGTATTTTGAACAAATTTATACTTTCTAACTTCAAGTGGAAGAAATTTAAGGACTTATTTTCTCTTTGGAAAACTATCCTTGAAATCATCATAAGTATATACGTTGTAACAATAAAACAAAAAAAAGAAAAAGAGATCCTGAATATGTTGATCGATCTATACTGCAATAAAAAGATCATGCCAAACACCTAATGCTGTGCTTTGCTGAGAAAATTGATAGTCATTAGAAGAAAAATAAGATTCCATTAGATGGAGGTATTTATATACTCTATGAGAATGATCATGCTTATTTCATCCTTAAAATTAATAGGGCATAGGTATCTGGATCCTATTTTTGTATCGATTTGTGGACTTTTGCAAGCCATTTCAGTTGTCTTCAAATCTCTCAAGGGCAAGAAGAAGTTCTATAAACTTACAATAAAGGAGTCAACAGAGTCTGGCAAGGTGCAAGAAAACACAATGATTTTAACATAGAAAGAGTTTGAGACTAGAGAGAGATCCCTATCTCAAAGCGGTTATAAAAAGGCTATTTCTACCACAGCTGCAGCTATAATCAATACTTAGTAGCACATTCAATAGTAGAATCAAAAGATGGAGATCGATGATTTCTTTAATATTGACGAGGAAGACACTTAGAACCAGACTCCTCCAAGGGACTAAATCAGAAATATGCCTACCATAAGTGTAGAATAGGAATTCTAGAGGAGATAAGTACTGCCAGAGTTTGTTAACTAATTAAGCCAAAGTTAAGAAGAGGAGGATATTGCTTTAGATCAAAAGTTAATTGATGACGTCTATGACATAAATGTTGTGAAACCTAATTATGTTCTATATTGTCTGAGAGAAAAGATTTTTATAAGATACGATAGAATTCTTAGAATGTAAGAAGATTAATAAGGAAAGTGAAAGATGCACATTTAAATATTATCATTTTTAATAGATTTATATATTCATATAAAATCCTCACTTTATCATATTAAACCAACATCTCGGGGTTTTGGGGTTTTGGGGTTTTGGGG